ATGTAGTTCTCTTATTAATAAGTTCTATTTAAAGCAGTTATTACATAAAGCAGAAAATAGTAAAGAGATTCTGGATGTTCACCTCCAAGAAGATGAACAATTTCGTTGGCCCGACTTATTAGAAAAAACAGAACCAACAGCTTCATCACAAGACCCATTAGTGGAGTTTAATTTAGGAACCGAATTGGTTCCAAAAGTGATCAGGTTAAGTGGTTATTTGTCTAAAGAGCAACAAACAATGATGCTCGAAGTTATTAGAAACAACATTGATTGTTTAGCATGGGATTATTCAGAGATGCCTGGTTTGACAAGAAGTCTAATAGAGCATCGATTGCCCATCAAAGAAGGTTGTAAACCTTACAAACAACCTCCAAGGCGAATGAGTCCAGATCTGATGCCTCAAATCAAGGAAGAAATCCAAAAACTTCTCAAAGTGGGTTTCATTCAACCTTGCCGTTATGCGGAGTGGCTGGCTAATATTGTGCCAGTGGTCAAGAAAAATGGTAAGATAAGGATATGCATCGACTTCAGGGATTTGAATCTAGCTACCCCTAAGGACGAATATGTGATGCCTATGGCCGACATGCTGATAGATGCAGCAGCAGGGCATAAAATCCTTAGTCTGATGGATGGTTATGCAGGTTATAACCAAATATTCTTGGCAGAAGAAGACATTCCTAAGACGGCATTCAGATGCCCAGGGGCTTTGGGTATTTATGAATGGACAGTCATGCCATTCGGGTTAAAGAATGCAGGGGCAACTTACCAAAGAGCCATGAATTCAATCTTTCATGATTTAATTGGCAGATCTATGGAAGTGTATATTGATGATGTTATAGTTAAATCTGCCAGTTTTGATGAACATTTGAGAGATCTTGAAGAGGCATTTGAAAGAATGAAGAAGTACAAGTTGAAGATGAATCCAACCAAATGTGCTTTTGGAATATCAGCCGGGAGCTTTCTAGGATTCTTAGTTCATGAGAGAGGAATTGAAATTGATGCCAATAAGGCTAAAGCCATTCTTGATAGTCGGCCACCCAAGACGGTTAAAGAAATCCAAAGTCTGTTGGGTAAGGTGAATTATTTGAGGCGTTTCATTTCTAATGCTGCTGGCAAGGTCAGACCCATTACTAAATTGTTGAAAGCTGGAAAAATTGCCTTTGAATGGGGTCCCGACCAACAAACGGCTTTAGATGCTATCAAGCAGGCATTGGTTCACCCTCCAGTCTTGATGCCTCCTAAACAAGGTCGGCCACTCAAACTTTATTTGGCAAATACATATGAAGTGGTTAGTTGTTTATTGGCGCAGGATGGTGATGACGGGAAGGAAAGGGCGATTTACTATCTCAGTAAAACCCTTACAGGACCAGAACTGAATTACACTATGCCAGAAAAAATGTGTTATTCATTGGTCTTCGCTTGCACTAAACTCGAGCATTATTTGTTGCCCAGAAGAGTTGAGGTCATTTCAAAGGTGGATCTCATCAAATTGCTTTTACAGAGACCTACTATGAAGGGCAGACTCATGAAATGGGCCATCAAATTGGCTCCTTTCGATCTTCAACATTCCCCGCTGAGGGCAATTAAGGGACAAGCAGTAGCCGACTTCTTGGCAGAATTCTCACAAGTCGGGTATTCTCTTTGTGATAGTGTCCGACCATTTAGTTGTTCATCATATCTGGATAATCTACAGGTCGGATGTGTGCCTTATATAAGTACCAGAACATGGTTGATGTTCTTTGATGGTTCTACCTCTGGAAACAAATCAGGGGCAGGGGTCTTTTTGCAAGGACCTGATGGTCAAAAGATCAACTTACAATTACGATTGGAAGCCATGACCCATAATTCGGCAGAATATGAGGCTTTAATTTTGGGTCTGGAGGCTTTAATAGCCAGGAAGGTCCAGTCTGTAATCATAAGAGGGGATTCTCAACTAGTAATCAACCAGGTAAACAACCAATATGTTTGCAATTACCCTCATCTTCGCAGATACAGGGACATTGTAGGTCGGTTACTAACGAAAATCTTAGAAGTAATAATTGAGTTCATTCCGAGGAAAGAAAACCAACGTGCCGATGAGTTGGCTCAAAGGGCCTGTAAAGGACTTCTGGAGGATATGTGGTCGGAGGTCAAGTCGGGCATAGAAGAAAAGACAGACCCAATATGTGACCGCATGGTCGGGCAAGAGACTGTCGGTCAGGAGTCCGACTGCGAAGTTATGGTCGGGCAAGAGGATATTGGACAGGAGCCCGACTGCGAAGTTACGGTCGGGCAAGAGGGTATTGGACAGGAGCCCGACTGCGAAGTTACGGTCGGGCAAGAGGATATTGGACAGGAGCCCGACTGCGAAGTTACGGTCGAGCAAGAGGCTATCGGACAGGAGCCCGATTGTGCAGTTATGATCGGGCAGGAGAGTGTTGGACAGGAGCCCGACTGTGAGGCTGTCGGGCAGGAGACGGTCGGTCAGGAGCCCGATTGCGAAGTTATTATCAGACAGAAGTCCGATGGTGAAACAGTGCCCGATTGGAGAACAGAGCTTATCCTGTATTTACAGAATCCTGGTGCGAGTGTTTCAATTGCGACAAGATTGAAGGCTTTACGTTTTCAATTAATAAATGGAATTTTGTATAAGAGGTCATTTGAAGGTCTGCTTTTGAAATGTTTGGGGTCTAAAGAAGCTCTAGAAGTGATGACAGAAGTACATGGTGGGATATGTGGAGCTCATCGAGCAGGTCTGAATATGAGATGGGCCATTCATCGTTTGGGGTTTTTCTGGCCAAAGATTTTTGAAGATTGCATACAATTTGCCAAGGGCTGTCAGGAATGTCAAAGACATGGAAATTTAAACCATTTGCCAGTAACCGAATTGCAATTTTTGGCAAAACCATGGCCTTTTAAATCGTGGGCTATGGATATTATTGGTAAGATACATCCTGCTTCATCGAAACATCATTGTTTCATATTGGTCGCGACTGATTACTTTACCAAATGGGTAGAAGCAGTTGCTTTGAAAAATGTGGATCAGAAAGAAGTGATAGACTTCGTTTTGAACCAAATTATTTACAGATATGGTATTCCTCAGTCTATAACAACCGACCAAGGCTTGGTCTTTACAGGGGAAAAGTTCTCTAATTTCTTGGCAGAATTCGGTGTTCGGTTACATCATTCTTCACCTTATTATCCCCAAGCCAATGGACAAGCGGAAGCAGCAAATAAGATTATCATTGGGATTATAAAGAAGATGATTGAAGGGAACCCAAGAAAGTGGCATTTGTTATTGTCTCAGGCTTTATGGGCACATAGGAATACCAGAAATACGGCCACAGGGTTCTCACCTTACCAACTCACATTTGGCCAAGATGCTGTTTTACCAGCCGAAATCCGAGTATCATCTGGCCGAACAGAATTTACTGATGGTGGTCTTACAGAAGAATACCAACAACTTATGATGCAACAGTTAGAAGATTTGGATGTTAACCGACTCCATGCAATAGGGCGAAGTGTGAAACAGAGTGAAATCAGAGCAAGGAGTTATGGAAAGAAAGTTCTTCACAGGACATTCCAAAAAGGAGACCTAGTCTGGAAAACCATTCTTCCTACATATAAGAAAACTGATCAATTGGGAAAGTGGTCACCGAATTGGGAAGGACCATACATTGTTCAAAAAGATATTGGAAATGGCGCGTTTATTATTGTAAATCATGAAGGTAGAAGAGTACATGATTGTATTAATGCTAAATATCTGAAGAGGTATTATCCTGCCTTTTCAGATAACAAAACTGCCTGAAACCAAATATTATTCAGAACCCATTTATGGGGTTCGAACCTATTTAAAGGTTCATTTCAGTTAGTCATCATGTATTGGTGAGAAATTTTCTGCCTCTGAATCAGACTTTTCATCCCAGTGAGTGGATATTAGCTCTGGTTCTTCTTCAATAAGATCTTCCAAATCTGGTCGGTACCTTTCCCATTGGCTTTGCATTTCGTCTAAGTCTTGATGGGTACGTGCTTGCATGTCTGTTATGGCTTGGTGTTCACGATCAACAATAGTCCGTAATCTTGAAAAGACTTTTCGTTGATTGGAAAAGATGTTATCCCAACCAAGATCTGGAAGTATAGTTGCTGCGTGATTTTCTATCATTTCCATGTGGTGATGGAGATCAGGAATGCAGCTAAGGATGTCACGAAGAGGTTCATACCCCTCAATGACTTTTTCCATCAGGCGGATGGCGCGATGAATGGTTCTTCTTCCTCGTTGGGAGAATCGGAATTTGAAGTCTAGTTGCTTGAGTATATGTAACAAGTCTTCTGCATGGCCTCCAATAGGGTGATTACCCACAAAGAAGGGTTGAAGAACACCCTGCCAGTTGTTTGATGGAACATAAGGTCGGTCATTCGCCATGTTTGTTAATACTTTAAGTGTTGTGATTTTCAAAATATGCCTTGGAATGTGTTTCTTAAAATGTGAGAAACAATGTTCTTTTAAAGAAGGAGTTTGTTTCTATTCCTACAAAGTTGGAAATTGAAAGGTGATCCTTGTTTTGAGAGAAGAAAGAAAAAAATGGGTTACTAAGTCAAGTATTGTTACAAAGGGGAAGCTATTACAAAAGTGCCCCTAGGGCAGTTTTTATATGGGTCCATTTGATTTCATCCCTAGATAGCCTTCTCGTATTGGCAGCCGTCTGATATCTTATGATGAATTGGGATCGGGCCTGGGTTTTCAGCTCTTGATCCAATTCAGCCTCATTTTTGGTACACTTCTCAAGCAGACGCTGTTCATTGGTAATTTGCTTATCCAGGGTAGACTGTTCTTTCCTCAGCTCCCGCAATTCTGCCTCCTTTTTCTGAATAGCTTCATCAACTTGAGCTTTCGTGTTAAGGAGACCACCCAGCCTTCCAGTAGTCTGCTGGAGGGATTCTCGGGTCTTAGCCAAAGAATTCTCCAGCGCTGTTTGATCGAAGTCGGGCTGGGGGGTTTCGGCTGACAGGAATCCAATGACTAATACTTCAGTCTTGAGCTCTGTAAGTCTTTCCATCAGCCGATGCAGAATGGGGACGGCTGGTGATTCCGTTGGAGTGTAATAAAGAAGGCCACCAACCGTCTGAATGAGCTTGTCCAATAAGTCGGACCTTAATTCGGACAGGGGACGGTTAATGGCCTCAGTGAACACAGTCTGGGCCTCCGCTGGAACCGGAACAGTCGATAGGACAGCTAAGTCCGAAGGCCCCTGCAAGTCCTATAACGTCAATAAATATTCCAAGGGAGTTGCAAATTTGTTCGGAGAAAATATGTGGTACCTCTGGGCGGACTGCTGTCAGTGAGGGGGGCAGCAATGAGGTCGGTCGAGTTGGGCAGACAGCTGGTATAACAGCAGCCGACTCGTCGGCTGCTGCGAATGGTCGCTGAGGTGCCGACCTGGGTCCCTATGGAAAGTAGTATTTGAAACAGTTAGTGTTTTTCTAAAGAAAAGTTATGGCATGGGTTGGTCTAATCTTACCAAATTCACAGAAGTCTCCGAATCGGATGAAGACATTTCTTCCATTTCTGGAGGTTGGGCTGCCACAGGTGGTTCTTCTGCCTGCCATTCGATGGCTAGAGGGAGCGCCGCTGCTGGTAGGGCGGCTGCAGGTTGGACGGCTACCTCTAGAGCCACTGCAGCCAGGACCTCTGGGGCACCTTCGATTTCGGGATCAGCAGCATCAGGGATGTCGTTTTGAGGGTCAGCTTCGGCGAGGGCGGCTGGTTCTTCCTTTGACATAGATGAGTCTGATGCCATGTATGGCGGCCGACCCATCTGGGAAGTAGTCCCCTCGCTGTCAGAAGAGACCCCTGCTGCTGATGGGATGGGTGAAGGTGTCTGTGGAAAAATCATGAAGATGTTTGTTGTTAAATATATTAAGGTTGATCATTCGAATCCTAAGTCTGGCTGATAAAGGAACTTACTGGTTCTATAGGCACTGCTGGTAAAGATTGTCTCCTGGTCGGGGGCCTGGCCCGACCACTCCTCGGTACGGGAGGAAGAGTTTGCCTCCGCGTCGGGTCCTCCGCCCGACTGCTCATTGGCAAATTGGTCTGGACCAAAGGCCCGATGGAATGATGGGTTGGTGCTGGCGTCGGTTGCATGGTCGATGTCATCAAGGTCGGTTCTGGGGAATGAAATGAGTAAAATCAAAGTTACGATATAGTGAATCGGTTCACGGTGTTAAGAAACGTTACCAATTCGGGGTCGGGTCCTTGCTGACGTCCTATTTATTCCAAGGTCTGCTAGTGTTTGCTGGTCGGTCTCCGAGGTCGGGGGTGTTTGCAGCTGGGAAGTCTTTCTTTTGCGCGTGGGACCACCAGATCCGATTCCCGGGGCGGTTGTTTGTTGTTGGGTGCTAGTATGTCTCGCCGCCCCTAGAACCAATCCTTGGGGGGGAAGGAGTATGTTCAGCAACCGACCCTCATCAGGGGATATCAGGGACCATACAACCGACCACCATTCATTGAAAGTATCTACGGTCTCAGGGTTGGAGCGGAAAGGAATATAAGAATTGGAAATTATATACGTGGTGAGCTGGGAGATATAAGAAGGGATTGAATTAGGAAGGACTCGTCGGTCGGGACTTTGAAAAATTATTTGGGGACACGCGACGGGTCCAGGGATACCTTGGCAACAGCCGAACTGGCGCGCCATGAATTGAGGTTCATAGTTAAAAGTGTAAAAAGTTTTCTGCCCTTTTTTATCAAGTTTCTTGCTACTAAAAAGAGACCTGGGTTTGAGGGCGACGTCCCAGGCAAAAGGATAGGTGGGATGAGGACAAGGCTCAGGAGTCGGAAGCGGGTTTGGTACTGGAAAGGGCCAAAAATGGTCGGGAGCATAACCCGCATACTTTTTATACATAGAAAATCGAGAGTTACTGCGGGTATCTGTTAAAATGGCGGTTATTATAGGATCGGAAGATTGGAGTTTATTGCGTCCTGAGCAGAGTCGGTTGAGGACTAATCCTAAATGTTTTTCAGATGTTGGCATAGGGGGCGGAGATCCTAAGTTAAACGCGTTGGGAAAGTAAAGACGGAACCAAAGTTCTAAAAACCAAAAAGGACCCGACGCGGCAGTGTCTAATTTCCTATTATCGTTATCTGTTAAACGAAGGCTAACCCTGGTGAGTCCTTCAAACAGATTGGCTAAGAATAGAGTACCAAGGGAGAAGAACCGACCTGACGCAATATGAATGGCCAGGTCGAGGTGAGAAGGAAGAACACTTTTGGAAGGGGAAACAATGACGTACCTACAAAGCCAGAACAGAATAAAGGCAGTATGCTCCCGGTCGGTTACAGGAGTCCCTGGAGCCCCTTGCTGGTCGGTTGCGAACTTTGTCCAACCCCATTCTTTCACACCTTGTAAAGCCCATCCCGGATGGTCTTCTGATGGCTCCTGCCCATCTAGGGCTCCCATAACAGGGTCTTCACCCACGACTGGGAGATGTGCGATCATGGCCACGTCCATAAGAGTTGGGCCAAAGGGGGCCGATGGCAAAAGGAAAGTCTCATTTTCCGCATTCCAGAAGGCGGACATGGCCAACAGCACCTTCTCATGCAGGTTGATAGGCATGGTGGACAGTAGTATTGCTTGGTCGATCTTTTGGGATCGCCATTGGGTCTGGAAGTGTTCTGCTACTCGTCGATACCAAGCACGATACAGATCTTTTGGGTCTGTGAGATGGGTCTTGATGCTGTCTCGGATGCGAACTGCTTGGTAGTGGGGATTGTTGATAGCCAAGGAGTTGCGAGATTCCAAAACTTCCCTCATCCGATTTGAATCTTCAGGAGTAGTGCAATATGGACGAATCGTCGGAGTTAGTACTTTCGAGGCTGAAAATGGACCTTCTGGAAGGGTTCCGTCGAAAGGAAGGGCAGGAATGTATTGATTCGCCATAGTTCGAGTGCTTTGGGATTGTGATTCACAAAAGCTGGGATGGCGGAGGAGGAAGTTAATCAGGAGTGTTGCAGTAACTGGTGCAGTTACTAAGGGAGTTTTTCAAGAGGGTGGTGTTTTATGAACTTCCAAACATTGATTGTTAAATGGCGTTTGAAAGTCCCTTGGCGGCGGGCAAGTTGTTACGTACGAAATTTAGAACTAGGTTAAAAAGCCCAAGGTAAAAAGAAGAATGGGCCTGGCAATAGGGTTGATTGATCTGGCTAAAGGACACCGTGAGGAAATCAAGGAAAATAAATTTATTTATTTATTTCTAAGGGAAATACAGGTCGGAAGGTCTTCAGGTCGGGAGATCCGCAAGACGGAAAGACCTCAAGTCGGAAGGTCTTCAGGTCGGGAGGTCCGCAAGATGGAAAGACCTCAAGTCGGAAGGTCTTCAGGTCGGGAGGTCCGCAAGACGGAAAGTCGTCGAGATGGGATATCCGCAGGTCGGGTAAACTGTAGGTCGGATAGAAGGAGGAGTCGGACAAACGCGGAGGCCTTTGATCAAAGACAGGGGGCGGTTGATATGGAGGTCGGCCCAAGTGGGGTCGGGCGAAGAAGTAGGTCGGACGAAGGGCGAAGTCGGGCCAAAAGAGCGGAAGGTCTGTGGTCGGCTCAAGGAGTGAAATATAGGGAATTTTGGTCTGCTGGGGACACGTGTCAGCATGAGAAAGGTTGGAAGACGGTTGAGAAGGAGACGTTGTAACCGTTCGGGTGACGGTTTTCAGTACGGTTTCCCAGGGAATATTTAAGGATTTGGATCATCATTTGGCAAGGCATCTTCAATCAACTTCAACAAAGCAAAGTCAGATTTGGGGATCACCACTTTAAATTTCAGTCTTTTATTTTCCAGTTTATTTTCTGTACCATACAGTGTTTAGAGATTCCTAATCTAAGGCACTAATTAATCAAGTTTAAGGATATTTTTTATATCTTTGAATTTTACTTTATTCTTGTTGAAAAATTACATCAACAATTATATATTGTTATATTCTACTCTTTTCGTCCGGCCAATATGCTACGATGTCCAGACACAAAAATTAAAAAATAATAATATTGCAATATAAAAAAATATTAGATAAATAATAAAATTAGAGTATTATAAAAAAATTATTAAAAAATTAATAATAAAGTAACGAGATAAATAAAAAATAGTGATTATTATTTGTTAAATTAAATATAATAAAATTGTAAGTAAATAATTTGATTAATGAATAATAAAAAATAAAATATGACATAATTATCAAGGATGCAGAGAATATATATATATATATATATATATAAATATATTATATTTTCATTACCGGCCTTCATCACCATCTCTTTCAAGTTCAATTACTCATTGTAATATATTTAAAATATTGATTCTTGTATACATGAGACATAATAAATATTTTTAATGTATTTACTTTAGGTGTGTTTAGCTTGTATTTTAAACATATTTCAATAGTGTTTAACTGTACAATTTTTAATAGAAATATATTACCAGTATTTTATATTACAAAATGTCAATTGAAATTATATTTAAAGTAAAACTAAAATCAACACTTCAATTTTAAATTAAAACCCTACAAACCCTTTACTCTTTATTTTTTTAAGTCAATCTTTTTCTTTTTTTTTTCTATTGATTTTAGTATTGATATAGTATAAAGAAGGTAAAGAAATTTGAGAGTACTTTAACTAATTCAATATGTTTAGAAGGTGAAATTATTTAAAGAGAAGCCTTCTTGAATTAGGAATGGCATGGTAATTAAAGTATATCGAAAATTTAACGTTATACCGTATACCATATTAAACATACTAGTATGCCATATTGAAAAATTTTTTGTTTGTATTTAGTATTTAAATAATAATTTTGAATGAGAGATATTTATACTAATGATAAAATAAGATATTTTTAAAGAAATTTTTGAGATTAAATAATAAATGTTTGAAAAAAATTCTAAAAACCCATAATCGTATTGTTTGCAAGAAGTGTAGTAATTTTATAATAATAATTCTAATTTTAAAAGTTGGAAGCATTTAATTTGCAAAGAATATATTATTGAAGAATGTTGGATAAAGTGTATCTTAAATTTAAAAAAGGACAAAGAAAGAGCTTTCTACAATTGTAAAATTCCTTCAAACTGTCCAAACATTGTATCCATTATTTTCCACTTGCTTCTATTCTTTCTATTCATTCTATTTTGTCGTCTCATTACCATTGTCCCTTTGCAAGATTCTGCACACACACACAACTATTTATTATGTGTATAAAAATAGCATTGTTGATGTGCGAAGAAGGGACCATAATAATAATAATACTAATAATAATAATAATAATAATAATAGTATTTTTGGAACCATTTATCTACTTGTATGTGTACTTTTTTTGTCCGTCTAGTGTCTATGCTAATTTATCTATTACACAGAGGATTTATTTATTTGAGATTTACCTTATTCTGAATTTGTTTTTTTAAATAAAAAACTTTACCTATATGTTTTTTTTAGTACATTATTTTTAAAAATAAAATATCTATAAAATAATAATAAAAACATATTTTTATAACGCTTTCACATTCCTCAATTAACACTACAAATTTTAGTAACTAACAAAATAATACTCCATTTTACTAAGAGAACACAACAATTTGTTCTTTTATGATATCAAAATTCTTAATAAAAAATTATCTAT